CACCTCCAGTTTTGTGTCAGGTGTGACTGACTTCCTAAGATCTCTCAGGAATCCTGCCTTGTATTAGGAATAGTGTGGCCAGCAGAAGCAGGGAAGTGATCGTGCCCCTGTGCTCAGCACTGGTGAAGCCACACCTTGAATACTGTGTTCAGTTTTGGGCCCCTCACTACAAGAAGGATGTTGAGGTGCTGAAGTGTCTCCAGAGAAGGGCAACAAAGCTGGTGTGAGGGGTCTGGAGCACAAGTCTGAAGAGGAACAGCTGAGGGAACTGGGGTTGTTTAGTCTGGAGGAGGCTGAGGGGAGACCCTCTACAGCTACACCACAGAAGTGGTTGAGTCCCCATCCCTGGAGATACTTAAAAGATGTGTAGATGAGGTGCTTAGGGATATGGTTTAGTGGTGGGATGGTAGGGTTAGGTTAATGGTTGGGCTTGATGGTCTTAAAGGTCTTTTCCAACCTAAATGATTCTATGATTCTATGAATTTTTGCCAAACAAATTTCTCTTCAGGGGCCTAGGACACCATCAATAGCCTTGACATCTCCTCCTTTCCCCTGGCAGACTGGAATTTTTATGGGGTATGGTGCCTTATATAGAAGGGGCTAAACTGTTAATGAGTGTTGGGGTTTTCCATGTGGCTTGGGAAGGTCTGAGGTTCTTCTATCTATCTACCTTCTATCTACCCTTAGCACCTACTGCGTGGCTTCCTGCAAGAGTGGAAGGCTTGGTCTCAGTAACCTATGTTGCTTCCTCCAGTCCTACATGCTATGCTTTCTTTAAATAGCAAAACATGGTAGAAAATACACAAAGGATTCTAAAGAGAAACCAGGTCACTGGACTTTATACTGAAACACATTCTCTTGGGTTCTTTTGATGCAACTGTGCCCAAAGTGAAGGAAACTGACTTACAAACGTCTCTGCCCCTTTGGGATGTGTTGGGCCTAAAGGAAGATGGAAACCTCACTAATAGCCCCAGTCTTTTGACAGTTCCTTGTGCGGTTTGTATAAGCGGAGGAGAGGAGTCCGTATTTTCTCCATTTTCTCTTGCGCTGTTGCATAAAGGCAAGGAAGTTATACAATAGCTAAATAAGGATTACACAACTGAGCTCCATAAATCTAAATCAGAAACAGAGTCTCTATCCTGCAGTGGACAAACATAGAAATGTGGAAGGGTGAAATTCTGGTCCTAATGAAGTTAATGGCAAAGCTCTTGCTTACTCCAGTGAGATCACAATTTCATCAAAAATCTTGGCTTAAGCCTGTAGTTGGCTGACCAGACTGGATATTTAAAGCATATCCCTGTTAACTTTTTCCAAGTACTGGGATAAGACAACGTTCCTTTTTTTTTTTCTTTTTTTTTAAGCTTTTTGCTTATGATAAAGAAATGCAGAAAAGTATTTTAAGACCAAATACTGAGCAACCACTTGCAAACCTGAACTGGAAGGCTAAAAAGGGCCTGATACACTATCTCTGAGTGCAAGAACAAATATTAGTGAAGTAGTTGTTCCCATACCTCAGTGTCAATACTTTAAGCCAGTGAAAGCTGCTGCTGAGTCACACCACTTGGGTATCAGAAGGAAAGATGGGAAACCCTGACCTGTGGGGGTTGGAAGTCCAAACAACAAAAACCAGACATCAACAAAACAAATAAAAGCTCCTAATGAACCTGAGACCTAAGCTCTGCAAGTAAATAACTTCGTGAAACGATCCACTGTGCTACCAGGACTGCAGTGCAGCAGAGTGTCGCTGGAGCTGTTTGGCACACAGACCAAACTAATTACTTGACAGTTGTTTTAGTTTGGCCTGGGGTGGACAGCAGTGCTGGGTATGAAAAGCCACTGCAATTTCTTCATGTCCCTGGGCTCATCTGGTCTGACTATTGAAAACTATTGCTGTTACACTGAATGCCAGCATGCACACCAGGGCTCCCCCCACCCACAAGATTCCTGCCTGATGAAAAAGAAAGGAAAAAAGAACAGAGGAGAAAAAGGAAAGCTTGTGCAATCAGGGCCACGCATTACATGTATTCCCAGCCCAAGGGTTATTTCTCTCCCCCTCTTCCCTGAAGCATATTTTAACAATTGAGCTGATTCAATGCAGAATGTCATTAACAATCTGACAGTGAACAAGGACTGGGGATCATCCTTATCCTACAGAAGCAAGCTATAAATAATCATCTTGGGTAAATCTACCATCCTGACAGGGTGGTAGGATCCCACAAGACTGATTCCAGTGTATTAATAAACGCAAATGCTGAACCATTTCTTGCAGAGCTTTTTGGAGCTGTGTAAATCCTTCCTACAAGCATCAGATAAAGCTGTCAAGGTTGGGGAAGAATTGCTTCTATGTATGTGATCAAGCCTCAGCAGTTAAAAAGACTTAGCCTGCTATAAACAATTAGGTATGGTAGGTCAGTGCCATCCCAGTGTCATCACTGACAGTTTCATTACTTAGGCCCACCGTGGATATAATTCTCCAGGCAACTGTCTGGAAAGTCATTGTAGCCTTGACTGTTTCATGACCAGCTTCTGTCCAGCCCACAAACAGCCCAAGTGGGGCAGGCCAAAACCTCACAGGCTCAACTATAACTTCCAACTTCTATCACTGTAAGATACAGTGGCACGGCAGGCTGTGTCCCTCCTCTGCACCAGCTAGAAGACAGCTGGAACATGAGGGGCTACAGAAATGATCCTTCTTGTTTTTCCTCACTGTGCAGAACAAGCAACTACCCAAGTTTAAGTTTCATACCCATCCATCATACTGCAAGCTTGCACCATCAATTTTGATGGAGCCATGCTACTTTACATTTTCATTCATCCCCTCTGACAACTCTCTACTTCTTCCTCCTTTCGTTCACACTTGTGTCTTTTACTAATACCTCTCTACACTTACTTTTCCTGCCTTATTTGTCCCCTCTCTCACATCCTTGGCTGCACCCTCTTCACACCACTCCCTCTTTCTCCCCCTTTATTACAACCTCGATCCCAGAGATCTTCCCTTGTCCTCCAAAAAAAGTGAAGAAGAGGGAGAGATGAAGGAAAGAAGAGAGTGATTCTGTCTAAGAGGCAGTGAGAAATGCAGCATAGCCCTTGAATTAGGTCCTTTGAGCCCAAGGACTATCCAGGTTACCCAGAATTTCCTTTGATGACCCCTGCTTTCTCCAGGTCATGGGCCTTGTTCTAAATCTCTTCTTTGTTGGGTAGAAGCTCTGCTTGAGTGCTCATGTATGAGACTCAAGGATTAAACCCAGAGGTATGTTAGCAGGTAAGATGATGCCAGAGTCAGTACACTATCGCACGCCTGTTGCCAGGCCTCAGCAGTACCCAGGAAGCCCATACAATTACTTAGTTTCCATCCCTTTTTGCAGGTAGTTTTTCTGCAGCAAGGAGTTATTTTTTTTTCCCAAAATAAGGAGAGCATTTATTGTTCAAAAATGCTGCCTCTGACTGTCAAGGCCTTTGCAAACACTTACTGCTAAGCACGGACATTCATTCTTAAGTGTAATGGCGAACATGGTAAACAAATCCAGTCTCTCTGAAGTACAGAACAGAGACACGCCTTCTGTCCCAGCAAGTATTGCTCATACTTGAGACGTAAAATCAAGAAACCCCGGCCCTTGGTGCTCACTGATGTCCTCACAAACACAAATAGGGGCAGTGATTACCATTCTGTATATTTTTCCAAGTTCTGAAGTGCAGTCATGCTTGTTTTACATTGACCAAATAGCTTGGAAGTGCCAAGTTTCCAAAATAACAAAATATAAGAGGAATCTGCATCGTATGTTTACTAAATACTAGGTTTGCCTTTTGAAAGAAAAGACAAAGAACAGAGCAGACTTTTACTTCTCAGCTGTTAAGTGAAACAACACTCAACAGTAATTCTTGTCTGTAGCTTTCTCTGCCCTGTCCAGCCTCAGCCAAACGTAGAGACAAACAGCTGGTGCTGAGGTGATAGTCTCTTTTATGGACACAGAAGCCCAAACTGGGTGGCTAAGGAGAAGGCTTTCATTTTATCTGTAAGGAATTCACTGGCAACAGGTGCTATGTGAGGCAGATTCAGAAAATGTGCTTAAATGTGCTGAGTGGCTTATCTTACAGGATAAACTCTAGCGTTTATAAACAGCTTGGTCACAGGTTGCTTTCCCCAGAGCACAAACACCTGATAGTTTTGGTTCCAATCACGAAATTACAAACATGGTAGCAAACAGCAAACGCCATCAACTGCATGACTTGCCACATAGTACAAAGACAACATCAACAACACTAATTAATGCACACGGTCCTGATTATCCTAGCAATCCTAGAAGGTCTTTGCAGAGATCATTTTATGGCAGCCAAGCTCAGGGAAAATGGCCTGGGCCAGCATGAACAAGTGCAATGGGCTACTCTTACCCAGCGCAGAACAGCTCTTCAACCATGAGCAGGAGGACTACAGACCTGGCTTAAGGCAGGAAAAACTTACTGACAGCCTTTCAGGTGCTGAGCATATGTAACAATTTCTCACCTAGTCTCCTCCTAAGTAAAATAACTAGTCCAGTTCTGCTGTCCAGTACTTACACCTCCTCTAGTAAACTGAAACATTATGCAATACCCGAAAGTTACCATTTCTATTTGTTTTAGCAATATAGAAGAATGTATTTTAAGAACTTCAGAGTGTTGGGCCAAATTTGGTTACCCACTCTTCCTTTTTACCTGCTGCTACTGCTTCTTCACTAAAGCCAAGCAAACATGTAAAATTTCTGCCCAGACAAAAAGACCTTTCTGTGATTTATTATTGGAATATAAAGCCAACGTCTATGAACAACGTGACATACCAATCTTACTCTGATTAGTTCTCTCCAAATTTACCAAAACTTTGTAACTCAAAACCAGGTTCTCCATATGCCAGCCTCTAAATTACCTGACAGACAGATGGTTGAGTGTAACAGCAGAATCAGTTACACCAACGTGGTAAGATGACCAAACAAGACCTAGGTTATTACCAATTACAGCAGTTCACTTACCCTATAGTAGTCCGTGCTGTACACATCTCTAGACATCCCAAAATCCCCAATCTTCACCAGTAGGTTCTCACCAACCAGACAATTCCGGGTAGCAAGATCCCGATGCACGAAGTGTTGTGATGCCAGGTAAACCATACCAGCTGCTATCTGCTGGGCAATGTGAAGCATCTGGGATTGGGTCAGCTCAGCAGGACGGTTGCCTTCTGCCATCAATACTGCATCTGGTCCATGTGCCCTGCACCAAAATACAAGCTGAGTAAGTGATAGGCCACTTGTAAGCTGGGGAGGTGAAAGTGATTAGTGAGCCTAAACACAACTGACTCGCTCAAATATAGTAACAAAAAGGGCTACAAATTCATTCGTGAAACGGGAAAATTTCTATCTTGGCTTTCTTCATTTAGTTTTCCTTCACTGTGTGGAAGACAGGTGGCGTGAAGGGCATTACACATCAGGTGATTACCCACTCTTCTTACACCACTCTTTCTTACCCACTCATGGAAATAAGGCACATGCGTTCACAGTAACACCCTTCTGTCCGAAACCACCACCTCCCTCCTGTTCCATTTGAGTAATCTTTTCTGGAGAAAGGCTGGCAAATGTAGCTGTTTGGTAACTGAGGAAAACCTTATCACTCTATGAGTGAAGGGCAATATAGTGAAAGGCAATGAAGTGGCATGCACAGCATCACTCTTCCTGTGACCAGCATTCCTTGATTTCCACAGGGATCCACGCCATTGACCCTCCCATCTTTTCTTAAAGAAGAGCTAACTTCCTTCTGAGATGCCATCTGAGAAACAGGGGCAGCAATTTTAGATTTACACTTCTAATTTCCTAATAATCCAAATGCACAGCTGGAAACCATTTTTTCTTATTTCATCACCAAGGGTGAGTCCTGCCCTAGATGGGAATTCTTGACAACTAAAATTTTGGAACAACTAAACAGTTTCAGTAATACAAGCTTTTCAAGCCCTAGAAAGTCCCTAAGATGCAATAATTAACTGATTAATGAGAAACTTGTATAAATTCCAGCAGAAGGAGAGCCAGTTTGCATTTGGAAAGCCCAGCAAAGGACTGGAACACATGTGCTTCACCCATCTTAACTAAGTTAGCTCTGGTATACATGCATAACATCCTGGTATCTTGAAGATACAGACATAAACATTCCTACACACAACTTTTTATAGTAAACATTACTAGCTAATCCTTATCTAATAATGAGGTCATCTGGCAATCATTCCTCATTTGGTCCACCTTATAATATTCTGAATATCCCTTTCCATCCATTCCATTATTCTGCATTTTCAGAAGCCTTTTTTTATTCCATTCCTCCAGACTGTTCTTTCTAGGAGACCACCTCTCCTCTTCCATCCTCAACTCTTTTTTTTTTTGAAAAATACCCTAGAACTTATTTTTATTTTCTCTTAACAGTCCTTCCTTTCTACAAAGAGGAGTTTCAGAGAATCACCTTTCTAATCAATAGAGGTGAGGCCTTAATTCATCCCTAGGGGAAGGGCACAGGAGTTTGGAAAAGAGTTGCAAATTAATCAAAATCTGTGAGATCAAATCTGACACTACCTATTATAAATATGATATTAAAATTGCCCCAAGGGAAGAACTTAATGAGCAAAGTGACAGATGTGAGAAAGAAATGAAGGAGGGTGTATAGCATTGCTGGGACTGTATCTGGTACTAGGCAAAGGAGCTCTCTGCCACAGGGTACATATAGGCAAGCCATTCAGCTGGTCTGGGTTGGGTAGGAATAAGCGGGAGGATATGAAATTTCCAACCAAGACTCACAGGTAAATGCCTGCTGAAAAGCACTGTACCTTTTCACTGCATGGATTTTTTTAATGGCTGCTCTCAGACATGAAGCTCAGAGTCACTAAATTAGAGAACGCTTCATTTTTGCTAGCTTCCACGAGGACGTGGTCTGTATCTAATGAAACTTCTGGATTATTCTTAACACTCCATCCACCTTGCCTGTCCTCTTGGTGCTGGCTGTAAATGAGGTGCTCCTCAGTGTCTGCAACAGCCAGGAACACTGACAGAGATTTCTTTGCATCCACATCAGCCTCCACCAACTAGAACAAGCACAGAGCAGGCATGACTATGAGGCTGTAGTCCTAGATCTGAAACAGCCTTTGGCTGCATGCAGACAGCAAGGATCATTTGGGTTAAATTTCGGATTTGTTTTTCCACGACAGCCTTTGGTGGCGCTGCAGGGTAAGAAATACAGGCCCTTACAGCCCGGTCACAACTAGCCCCTGATCTGCAGCACAAACTGCAGCAATGTGAGAGGAATGACAAATTGGAGCTTAGGTTTAACAGCTTGTCCCAGCATAATCATTTTATGTTCTAAAGACAAGGGCTGATTAATAATTAAAAAAAGAGAAGGCCTAAAGTAGGAAATATACTGTCTGCTAAACTACCTTTCTGTACAATAATTCAAAATCAGAGTTACGAGGTAAGAAAAGGCCAATCAGAAAGAATCAAAGACTAAGTATTTCTTATGAAATAAGAAATTATTTCTTATCATCTGCGAATCTGGCTTCTACTAATGGAAATTCAATGTTCTGAAAAAGTACTGGGGATGACATCTTAAGAAACTGCAGCTTTCTTCTGATCCACGGCAGAGGTCCAAGCAGGCAAATGTAAATGCCCCGACATGGCTCTGACAATATACTTAAATCCTCTGCCAGAGAGACAATCAGTCTGGGAAAAGTAGTAGTGTTTGCTCTGCATCCCCAGTTCAGGCCCTGGTCTCCCTGCCAAACCTCACAGCCCTGCCAATAAGGGAGGATGCTAGTTGATGTCATTTGCTTTTACAGTGTGGCTATCTGCTCAGCAGATATTAGAAAGACAGCAACTCATTTCATGTAGGCTAACAAAAATGCATAAATGGTGACACTAGCAGTCAGTAGCTGTTTCAGTCAGATAGCAAATCTGAACTCATTTAAAGGGACACCAGTTTTGATTGTTTTACAACTTTGTCACAGAGATCTTTCTAAAATGGTGGTACTCCCAGTTATCTTTGGCAGGAGAGATCCCAGTACATTGAAATGCCTTTGTGATATCCTTTGATGAAAATCATGTAGAAGACCTTGAAAGAACAGTCCCTTATGCAAATGGGGTTTTTTACATAGGAGCAAAAGCTGTCTCTTAACTGCTTATTTTTATGTCAACGAGTGTAGGCACACACACAAGGCCACTGTTCATAACTTCCTGGTTCATGAGTTACCTATTATTGTGAACCTTGGGTATCATTTATTTATTTATTTATTTATGAGTGCTTTACTGCCAAATTTCAATTTCTGATGTACATTCCTAAACAGCTTTATGAAATAAAGCCCTAATCCGGACCCCAAGATGTAGCATTTTCCATTACACTGAAGTTTCCATGGCTCACAGTTTTCTTGTTTCAGATTAATGGCAGTCTTTCCAAAACACTGAGAGAAGGGAAGAGAAGAGGGGTCAGATTTCAAAAGCTCTTAGATGCCTACAGATAGAGATAGGTGTTGAGTGGGATCTTCCCAAGTGCTACCAGAAAGCCTGCAAGAAAATGATTCCTACTGTAAGATTTATAACAAAACATTTCAGAATACACTGAAATATATTGGAAACAGTATTTCTTTGGTTTCCGTTCCTTTGGTGCAAAGCATAAGGCTTGACTTAATGGTACTTCCAAATAGGCAAAGAAACAATCAGCCCCACATCCCAGTACAGAAGACAAAAGTTGCACAGATTTGCACTCCTAGGTGTCAGCATTTTCCAGTGGCAGTAAAGTGACATTAAATACCAGTAACACCTACCTTCTCTGCCCACTTCTGGCTCAGCAGCACAATACGTGTTCATGGATTTACCTGAGGAATTTGTTAAGATCTCCGTGCTTCATATACTCAAAGACCATGATGAGCGGATCACCCTCGACACAGACACCATAGAACTTGACAATGTGCTCATGTTGCAGGTTCGTTAGCAGCTCTGCCTCACGATGGAAGTCCTTGCGGGCATTGTCACTGGCATCCTTCAGTGTCTGGCAGAGAAAACGAAAATGTAGGAAAGGGGAGTTGTTCGCAGAAGGTAGCGAACATGTGGGATGGTGCTGTGAGGGTAAGATTAGGACACACTACTGCATAGAGGATGAAGGAAGTACTTTCTTAATAACTCTTCTAGAAATGCAGATGTGATGTTTAAGTGCAATTAAATACTGGCAGTACAATTTTCATTCTTCTGCCACATGTCATCCCAAGCAATGATTTTCTTGTAAGAGGATGTAGGAATACTCATGATCTTACTGTGCCAAGTGTTTTCCAGACACAGAACAAATAAACTGATCTTATCCCAAAAATATAGTATTACACAGCTGGTTCATATCCTTTAGCATTTAACTCAGGCAAACCCTAGTATCCTGTTGGCATTTACCTTTCTCATAAGTTCTTTAAAATAAAACTCTGCTTCCTTAAAATAGTTAGTGGGAATGTAGATGCATTCTTCATGTCTTACTAATGTCACTGTTGCTGATGTTGGCCCCACAGTGTGCTATACATTAGGTAGATTTATACAAGGGTACGTCCCTGCACCAGAACTTACAGCCTGAGACTTCAACCAGAAACTCCTTTGAAATTCACTAAATCTACTCACATGCCTAAGATTAAGCATATATATAAGAAACTGGAGGATCAATCCTAAAATGATATACAGCAAGGAAGTAGATGCAAATCAGAATTTTGGGGTTCCACTTTTTCTCAACCTCTTCTATTTATACTGTTCTAAACTCTCATATGTTTTCATTTTGAAGGAAGGGTATCAACACTGGATCAAAAAGGAGGCTTAAATATTGTAGGGTGAAATAATGCTAATTTAACTGCCACACACAGGCAGTTTCAGATGTCTTCTTAGGAACTACACTTCCCCAGCAAGAAAACATTTTCATGCACCAGAAAAATAAATTGTGACACCAATTAAATGAGAAATAATTATAATCGACAATAAACCACTACTAGGCTCTATCTTCAAAAGGTACACTGGTTACACTATCCTAATTCAAGCAGTATTTTTGAAACAGTAGGAGAAAGATAGCAGGTTACCACTGTTCACAAATTATTATTCACAGAAACTGATGTCTGGCCTCTGTACCTCTGGATTTTAACTACACCTAGACTTAATACAAAGGAAGATGAGACACAAAAGTAGCGGCATTGTTTCAATTAAAGATGCTTTTTCCTGGCCATCTAGTCACTTTATTTTCTACCCTGAATTTGCATACAGAGCATGGGCCCAACCACACTCATCAGAACAGACACAGAACAAGTTGATACCATGCAATCATTCTGCCAGCAAACACAGTTTTTAGCTGCAGTAGCCATGGTTTGTTCAAGCTTTTTCTTTAAAAAAGACAATTCTGTCCACTCTTCTAGTATTACACATATGCATGTGTGAAGAAGGGACTAAAAGATGACCATCAGGGAAAACACTTTACTTTGTCAAACTGTGACCACAGGTCTTGAAAAAAGACCAGCTACCACAATACGGTTCAGATGGGGGCATGAAGGAGCAGGGCAGACTGGATGGCCACCTACCAAGTTCAGCGACTTTTCCCTACGGATTTCAGGGTCTATAGATCCTAGAGGCAACAGAAATCACTCATGCCACAGATGTCCCTTCCCTGAGGGACCCACTTAGAAATCTCATGTGTCTTCAGGCCCAGAACCCTTCTTCCACAAGTTTTAGCCAGTAATGGTACAACAAGCATAAGGCATCATCAAAGCTCCACAAGCTGTGATATATTAATATACACAACTGTATCATATAAGTTGGATATCAAAATGGCTCCCCACTATGGTCCCCACACAATCACATCTGAACCAATTGAGTACTGAAATTGAAATGTCTTCCAACGTTTCCAGGCTCTGAGGTGATGCTTTAACATGGTACAGGCACCAACACACAGTCCAATCTATGCTATATAATGAAATCACTGGGAACAACTCTGTTGTCACTTGAGTTTCCTCTGGTGGTTTCATGTATAAAGCAATTGGACTGTAATTCTTCTCAACAACAGAATTAGAAGAACAATTCATATAAAAGCCATTTTAAAATAATAGCAACCTGGAAAAAAATTGACAGGAAGAAGCATAGGCTGGTACTCTTTCCAGCAGGCTCTTTCCCCGGAAAAACAGTAAGAATGATGACAGCTCTGCCCTGTGAGGATGGCATATTGTGTATTTCAGAAGACGCTTTTTATCTCACAGAAACAGCAAAATTATCATATGACAGGGCAGTTGCCATGGCAATTACACATTTTCTGTCAAACAGCAAAATGCAGAAAGGTCTAAAATCCAGGTAAAGCTCAGGCAGGGTTTCTACTACCAAGGGGCAACTTGAATTTCTCTCACCTACCATTGCAAAACCCCCTTTTCATTATTTCATGCGGCACACAAAATAGACACAATGCATGAGAGATAGCTGACACAGTCAGGCAAGGAGGAGACTGGAAAGTGAAAAAATTAATAAGTACGTAAAATTTACATAGAAATGACATTGACTAATGCATTTAGCTTGTTCTCAGTGCAAGAGAAAAAAATAAAACCAAAATAAAACCGTAATAGCACAAAGAGAGAAAAAGACATATTCATTATTATTATCATTACTGACAAGTATGCCAAATCTCTGCATACAAAGCACTCTCACCAGTCAATATGATTTTTTCCTGAGTAGGAACTGAGGTGCAACCACATGTACTTTCCAACCACTCAGGCCAGCAGCTAAGGAGGAGGAACATGATCTCTTGGGCAATGGAGGGACCCCCTGGCTGTTACAGGAGCTCCACATCTGCCGAGTTCATCCTTGTGACAGCTGGACCACCACCCCACGCTTATTCTCCTCCACAGAGTCCTTGCACAGGTATCTACGCACCGTCGGGTCTCTACAGACTTGTGCCCTGTAGTGAGCACAAACCACCACCAGCTCCTTAGTCCACCCCGACACCACAGAGGTGAGTCAGAGCAAGAGCAGGGGGATGTGGCTCTCACCAACATCAGTATGACTTGGTAATGAAACTGTCCTTTACACCATGTCAGCCTTCCCCTATGAAATCCTTACTACTGCTCCCCATCACCATAAGAGAGCTGAGTGGTATATTTCCTCAAGAAATGAAGGGGTGGTTTTGACCTTTCTCTGAACTGAAGACCCGAAGAGTTGGAAACTGTTGGTTTTCCTCTGCAGGTGCTGTGGAAGTGGTCGCAACTTCACACACATAGCAGTCTGCTAGCTGAACACAACCCTGCAGCGGCACAGGGTGAATCCCCCTCCAACCTCCCAGGGGAGCCAGAGGCAGCTGCTAACCCGTGCCCTGACGGTTACCCTCACCTCCAGCTCTGGCCAGGTTAAACTAGTGCAAGACTATGCCCGGGGTTCCAACCCTGTGAGGCAGCAGTGCTGACCCAGGCCTGAGCAACCACTGTGGCATGGCAAAATGGCCCGCAAGGGAGCGATAAGTTTTCCTTCCTCCACCCTCTGTTCTCTAGAAGTGCCTGCAGCAAATGGCATACTGATGTGATATATGTACAAACTCACGCAGGGGGAAGGCTAGTACGATGCCCATGCAACCAGCTTAACCTGTGGCTAAGCTCACTGCTCACAGGGTCTGACCCACAGAAAGCACTTTCAAACACTCAGTGCTCCCCTCAAAAAGCCTGATGGTCAAAACAAATTTAAACAGATTGTTTTTATTCTCTTCCAAGAAGCTCAAACACTTTGGGTTGTTTATGTTAAGCCTGATTTTATATCTTCCCTGATTTTTCTGGGCCTCTTAGCTCCGAAATGATTTGCTGCAGCAATGTCAGCATTTCGGATACCAGCCGGCCAAAAAGAAGAAGGATGCATGTTGAGTCAGACTGAGCGATGCTCAGGGCCAGGCGCAATCCATGCAGTTGCCCAGCAACCGGCAGGCACAGGCAGCAGGCGGGGACCACCAGCCATCCCTATCCACCCTGTGCCAGTGAGACCGTGCCTCCTCACTGCCGAAATCCCCCCAGCACTGCCTCACTCCTCGCAGAGTATATATTCCCACTGGGCTCACCAAATCTATTTCATGGAGGCAGGTGTGTTGATTCTGCCCATGGGACTGAAGCCCTCTGAAGCCCTTGCTGTGTGCCAGGAGGAGCTGCCCAATGCTGCTGGCATCCAGGTCTGCTCCTCTAAGATTAAAAAACCCCAAACCAAACCAAAAAAAAACCAAACCAAAAACTCAAACAAACCCACACATTTTCACTGTCAAACCCTGTGCCCAGTGGTTGGGTCCGGACACAGTCCTCTGGCTAGCTCTCCGCACACCAGTGAGGTCCCATCCCTTGATCTCTAGTGTGAATGGAGGATACCTGTGAGCTAAGGTTGGTACCATGTGAAAGAGAGAAGCACCAGACAGTTAACCCCTCACTTATATGGGGATCAATTCAAATGCACAGTTTGCCAAAAAATTTGCTCTTCGACAGCAGCCAGTCACATCTTCTAGAGCCAATAAGAAACAAAAAACGGGCATAACCTGTCCCCAGAGGTAATTCTTCCCACAGCTGCCCTCAAGATCCTTATTAAGGACAATACAAAGAGTGGATTTGGTGAAGAAAAAAAAAAAAAAAAAAAAAAATGACAACTCGTCCAGAAAACTGATAGATTTGTCATCTAAATCCATGGAGACATCTCTCCCTTTAAAGGTTGAATGATCTTCCTTGTGAATTACACTGAGAAAGAGCAGCAGAAAGTGAGCGCAATGCAGCATTTAACAGCAGAAGTGCTAGGCTCCATTTGGTCAGGACTTTCAAAGGGAGCAAGTGAATGGAAAGACTTATTTTGCTATCAAGCAGTTCCCTGAAGTGATAGAGGAAAGGCAATTTCCACTCTAGCTTCACCAAAATACAATAGAAAATTCATTCAGATCTAGTTTTGTCATCTCCTGTCTCTTGCTTTCTCTGGTCTATGATATATGCCTTCAGGGCTTAATTTTTTCTCACCAGTCAATGTAACTGAACAACTCCCAAGAATCAAAAATCTTGCAACCTTGGCAAACCCCAAAAACCTGTTATTTTTGCTGTAGCAAGAAAGCACTCTATGAGTTCATCCTCCTCTCATGTTCTCTCACTGCCAGATTCAAAACTCTGTTTCTTGTTTCCAAATTGAAAAAGATAAACTGCTTGATTTCTTTTACTGTATAGTTTGATCCAAAATGTACACATCATTGCCTAATTGTGACTGGTCAGATAAAATTATTTTCTGATCCCTAGGCACAGCCCAAATTCTAAATGTGTTTTCCCCCTGCATTTAATGAGATACTTCAAATGCTGGACACCTTGTTCAGCTTTTGGCAGAACACTACAGATGGAGGTAAGAGATTGTTGCCAGGGAAACTTTGCAAACTCTTAGAGTGTAGTTTCACCAGTATTGTTTTCTAGCATACATCCATAGCTGAGGTCAACAACCAACCTCAGCCCTTCCATTCTGGGGGACAAAAATGCTTGGTATGGTGAAGCAGGTTTGGTGTTCCAGCTCTGAGATCAACCTGGAAATCTTCATACTCCTTGGTAGATTCCCAACATACCGGGTAGTCTGTGTCCTTTAGGAGAACCAAACAAATCCTTTTTATTTTTTCCCCCCAGAAATGTGAGAACTATTCTGTATACTTGAAATTCCAAGGTTATGGCTGTTTTCATGTAGTTTCCTCCTCCTCTGGATGGTATTTTGGGAGACTTGACTGGAGCTGTATAATCAAGAATCACTCCTCCAGGTCTAACATGTCATGACTTCTGGATTTCCATACAGACAGTGTTTAGCAGCACATGACAATATTATCCACAAGTTTGTTATAACAATTGTTGCAGCTATATTAATGACAATTACCCAAAGATAATTTCAGTGGCTGACTAAAAGGATGGCACAATCCTAAAAAAGAGAGGCCTTCTTTGACTAGCAGTTATACACATAACGTATTCACTTTACTGGTGATAGATTATTTTTTCAGGCACACGTATGTCACATGTATTTTTAATGACCTAAACATTATTTTTCACTAATTATATTTTAGATAGATCAGAAAAGATTTTGCCCCTTTGTGGCACAGTCTGCTTCTCCCCTTTTCGTTGTGAAATTCAGCTCTCATTTTATAATCCACAGCAAGATCAAATATCGCATTCTCTTAACACTCCATTAGCTTTATGAATGCTTCCACATATATCAGAGCAGTTACACTGGGCTGTGGAATAGGTAAACATGGTCATTTACAAATAAAATAGCATTAGTTGCAACATGAATTAATAATGGAAACCCTAGACTCTTTTACCTTCACTGCCACCAAGATCTTTTCCTGCTCAGGACAGAGGTTATAGCATTCCGCCAGGAAGACTTTCCCAAAGGCTCCTTCTCCCAGTTCTCTTTTGAGAACGATATTGTGGCGCTTGATGTGCTGCACAACTGTGAAGAGAAGACAAAACGGAGGTCAGGAGTGAGCTGCAAGGCCAGAATGGGACAGGGCCCACGCTTACAGCTACAGGGAGACAGGGCTGCCCGTAGAGCGGGCATGCGTCGTAGAAGGAATCGAAGTGCCCATCTACCATTCATCAGTGCTTTGTCCAAACAGACCGAGTTAATATATTTATATTTGAAGAGCAGCACGTTTGCTGGATAAGAAGACATGGAATTAAGAGTCAGCTGGGAAAAGGCCATTTATCATCATGTTAGGATGACTGCTGCACAACAGACAGTGCTACTTTTTTTAAAACATGAAGACAAAGAATCAGAAAACAAACCAAGCCTTTCTCACACCACTTCTATTTCTGTCCCTCAAACAACAGCTGAACTCTCTTGTTCAAAGCCGAAGAGTTTTAAAATTAACCTAATCCAAGAAAACAAAATGTGTTGTCTTTCAGCTAAATCAACTTTATTGTTTGGTTCTTTTACCACTTGTTCAACTGCTTTCTCTCTCTGTGCTATACTACGGTTACAATGAGATAGAAATTTTGTTCTCTCTGAAGTAAAAGAAAAAAAAGATGGACAAAGGTTTTAGTCAGCATAGTGGACAGAGCCTTAGTTGAATTGCTGCCCAGAATCAATTGATTCAGACATTAAAGTCCTTGAGCATTTTTGTTCAACTCATTTTACACTTTCCTTTCAGCACAAGCTTCCATTAAAAGATTTAATATTTAAAAGACTACCAAATTTTGTAGAATACATTATCAATTTGAGATGTTCAAGCTAAATAAAGCAGCTGTAAGGGCAGTTTAACTGGCCAACTCAACAGGATTGACAGCTTGTGTTGCTGAAATTGTACAAACCCACATCTACTGGTGAATTTAACCTCCGTACATTTAGCTGCCTTTGCAAAGACTGAAATTTAACGCTGCCTGGACAAAGCCCATTTGCAACCCAAATCCTAAATACAGGGAAATAAATAGCGGTGCACAAGCATCAGGCTGGCTTCTGCAAAGGCATGAATTTCACCTCAGCTGCTTAACTGCAGGGACCAGGACTGAACCCTGCCAATAATTTAGGATATATTCAGATGCAGACCAACCCCTGCCTCCATGCTTGGCCACACTCCTGTTCCAAACTGGGCAACCACTTACGCAGAAACCGCCTTGCCTCCATTACTAAAAGATGGGAAACAGGCTGCTGCTGGTAACAGCAGTGGGGACAAATGGCACAGCCTGTTCCCACTGCTGTCACCAGCATTTGGAGAAAGGTCTATGAGAGAAGAACACGTGTGTCCCACACCCTGAGCCTACAGCGATGAAACCCGAGTGCACTGCATATAAATGCACTTCGTACCCTTGTGCATGCATGCGAGGGGAGCTCAATGCTGGGGCAAGTCAGGAGAGCAAGAGATGTCCCCATGTGCCTCTGTCATGAGCCTGTCAGGCAGGTAGCATTCGCACGGAGTGGACCTCCACCAGACCCAGCTGGCACCTGCCAGAAGCCCCCAGGCCCAGCATGCAGGCAGGCCCACCATGCCCTGGGAGCAGAGTGAGGAAAGCCAGCTCCTCCCCATGCCACACCAGACCCACCAGGGCTTGTTCCTGTCCCCAGAGCTGGCAGCTGCAGGGGGGACATTGCCCGCCCCCTCCTCCAATGCCAGGTCTCCCAGCAGAGGCCACAGCTCTCATTAATAGCTGAGTACACACAAAATGAGACTGCAAGGTACCAATGTTTTGCATTCTAGTCAAACTCTGGTCTAGTGTAAGATTAAGTTTTATTGCGGTGATGCATTTTTACGGGTACGCTTTGTTTGGCCAGCTACCCGAGCAGCTCCCCTTGCAGCCAGTATGCATTTGCTTTTTATTTGCATTTCCTCCTCAGCACTGGTTCTTCAAGTAGAACACAGGAGACAGTCAGAACAAGACAGGCCTCAACCAAAACACACCTTTTCCCCACGTACTTAATTTAACTGGCATCCCTTGCCGCTGCTACTACCGGCCACAAGGCAGACATGCGGGGAGGACGCTGCCATGGCACGCCACCTGAGCATGGGAGCGCAGCTCACCTTGTGACCTGTGCTTTAAAAAATGCTTATTAATAAATGAGTACTCCCCTCTACCAAGCTTGCCATTCAACCCCGCCTCTTGGGGAATTCTCTTTTCCCCTGCTTGACCAGTATCACCAGGAGGATGCCTCTCTTCCTCTCCTAGAGAGGGAAGCTCAGCTCCACATAACCAGTGTCAGCGTCCTAAAATGTCCACAAAGCCCATAGACAGGGAGTAGGGCTGAGATCCTGCCCTACAAGCGTCAGCATCAAAACTCCAGCAGAGGCAGCTTTTCACTTGGTTCTCTCCACAGCTGCCAAAGACCTCATGATGAACACAGTTGACTTCCTGAATTTTGCATCGGCCCTCTCTATTTTGAACCTACCACCCCCCCAATTGTTGGCCCTAGCAGTACGAAGGTTTTTTGTGAAGTTCCTGGAGGACTTCACAAACAATAGAGTAAAAATAAATAAGAAGCATATCAAATGCTTCTCTGTAGTACACTTACAGCTGCTGCTAAATGCTCTTATATAAACCAAGCATTTGAATAAACAACCCATCCCATAAACCAAACTGTCAAAACTGAAACACAGCAAGCCGCAGAAGAGATCTGCGCAGAATATATTTGCAACTTGTCACGCTCTATCCATCCCTGTTACCTTTCTGAGCTGTACCGAGTTACTAAACAAATAAAAAATGACAGTAAATGCGACAAAATGGGCAGAGATTAAATATAAGAACAATGTAAGTGAATCAAACACATGAGGTGACTGAAATATGAGCTAAGAAAAAAAATCCCTTTAGCACACTTAGGGCCCCAGCCATAATGACAGGAGATACACTGGAAAATAAAGGTCAAAAATCTGCTTTCAGTTAACATCAGGATGAAGCCAATTATTGCTCTTGAAGTCCAAGAGATTATCCTGTATTTACATTGAAGAAACAGAGCAGAATTTGGCCAAAGAGGTGGCATAACTGAGTTACCAAAGAAGTGGTCTTGTAATGTTGTCTCACAGGCAAAGATACACAAACGTTCAAAGGGCGGCCATGTATTTTCCTCCTTTTGATTCTAAATGGTGATTGCGTTTGAGCTGCTATTTGTACTTTAAGAGCACATCATCCCCGATTTAAAAGATCTTGTCTGATTACTGTAAAAAATATGTTAAATTAAGCTAACAGCTAAGTCGAGCTGAAACACTTAAAAGAAAAATGAAATGTAAAATATGAAGTGAGACTGAGCAAATTAAACAAGGGTAAATGCTGAAAAGAGGCTGCAGTGTTAAATAATAACCACACAGCCGTGCCCGTAGAAGCAAGGGGCTCCCATGGAGCCGTGCCATAGAAGCAGGGAATCAGCTGGCAGGAGGAAGCACAACTGCAGAGAAGGGCTTGTCTCATCTCAAGGTCTCAGAGACAACCCACCAACAGAGCTGGGCTTCTAGGTATTTTGTTGACTAACAAACAGCACATCACACTCAAAATGATGCATTGAAGCTTGATCCTGCAAACACTGTCTGCGGGCATGGGATTGCACTCCCCAGGCAACGTACCTTTGACGTTGAGGCTGAACAGAGAGGGTCACACCACATTCTGGAGTGGGTCCCAGCAAAACAGGCGCCTGGGGATCAACTCACCACATTGAATTCACTGAGTTGGATGTGACTGATTCCAGCTACAGACAGCAGGACGCTCATCAGTATAAATTATCAAAATGTTTCTGTACTTAATTAACAAGTAAAATGCTGTGACAGAATGAAAACATTTTCTCCTTGGTCACAAACAATAGATCTGAACGTTTTACCACCACATGTGACCATGACACCACCCAAGCTGACCTTCTACACAGTATGGAGCACAGTATTCAGTTAAATGACTTGTGCTTGGCAGGGGACTGCCTCCAGAAAGTGGCTGCGCCAGTCTTGATTTGAAAGTCTGAACTATTCACTTGCCCTAATGTGTAATAATTTTCACTGCATGCCTTTTCCTTTGTCTCTTCATTTTTAGCTTGTCTGGCTTGCACCTCCCTCCCTTGGGTTTTAGGAGACTTTCTCTGCAAGCTTGAGCAGCCTTTGGAGGGCTAGTATTAAATATACATAATCAACACCCTTCTTGCTCTTCTTGGTAAGGCAAGGAGATGGAAGTCCTTCCCGGGAAAACATTTTCTCTAGTTCACCAGTCATTTTCAGGGCTCTTCTCTGGAAAAGTTTTCAACAACCTTTTAGAAGAGGTTGTTTCCAGTTCTTTTTCCCCACTGGAAGCCACAATTTTGTATCACTCTCCACAAGGTTGTAATAAAACCGTAAAATCAGCTCCCTATATTTCTGCATGTCCGAAGTTCACGTTAGTCCTTTTAAGGTTGGGTTTCCCAAAGCACATGAAAATTACATCGTTACATGGTCTGTATGACTGTGCCTCATCTTGAACACCTCACCCAATTACAGTATCACAAGTGCTGTAATTTTCAGATGTGTTTCCATATGCCTTATGAGAACAGCAGAGCAGAGGAGAGATTTGTCCTTATGGAGAGGCTGCAGCACAGACTCATTTCTTGACGGACAGTAAAAGCCACAGCAGACAGGCTCCATCATCACTGCTCACTGAACTACCAACACTAGAAGATCCTGTTGTGTTGCATGCCCACTTCAATCATCTGCTGAGTCTGTGTTCTAGGATACTGTTCAAAATCTTGCTTGCGGTACACATGTGGAATTTGCTCCAGGACTCCGAGAAGAGAATGAGGATCTTCAAGATGCCAAGTAACCAGGCAAGGTAATATTATAAACATATTTACCACTGCACAAGAAAAAAACATCCGCAGAAAAGACTCAGCTTGTAATGTGACAAGGTGTCACAGAAAGACATTTTGCAAGTTTCTTCATTTCTTCTCTCACCATTTCTCCTGCAATTGTGAAGACTCAACTATTTCTAAGACCTTGCTAGAAAAAAAGAGGTGTA